GCCGCCGAGACCCGTGCTCTGCCTTGGCCTCCTCGTTAACGTCTGTGTCCGCGAGCGCCTCGCCTGGCACGGGTGGCCCAGCAGGCCGCGGTTTCTCTGGGGCTTGGGGGATGTTTATAGAGTGTTTGAACATTGAGGTTCGCTTGTTTTGAGTTTGAAATCAATTATCTGAGAAAACAAAACGAGGCTCTGTCTAAAGAGACAGACTAGCTAGAAAATACACGCGGATAATGACCATTTTCTGTTTGCCTCGGGTTATTCTGGGTGTAATGCACAAGGGCGTCGGGCCTGTTCACGGATGATGCAGTTTTCCGTCACCAAAACAGCCTTGCCTGTCTCTATGCTTTGGTTGTATAGATCGCAACCGGAAAAAAAAAAAAGATAACTTTTAAAATCTTATTTTATATCAATACAAAAAAAGGAAGAATTTATCCTATAATCTTTGCTTAACTGGAGACAACATTCAATAATAAGGCTACCAACACATCCACTGCCGCATAGTAATACCTTCAGAAAAGGTCTTTCCTTTTGGAATTACTGGAGTCTGCACATAGGTCAGCTCAGCACGCATTTCCTAATCCCGTTATTATTTAGTCCCCCAGCTGGCCGATAACTTCTTGCAGGGTATAACAGCTAAAAGTGGGCGTGCTGCTCTCCATTTGAACCGACACAGAGATGGAGGGAAGGTCGGGACCGGTCGTCCCCTCCCTGCATTCTTTAGCAAGAATTCATTACTTCTGGCTACCGTTGGGAATATAATCCATAGTTACTTCTGTGGAAAACCTCTAAAAAGTTTAGCACATAACAGAGTTACTTGTTAGTAATAAAATAAGTAAAATTTGCAGAAATACTGGAAGTATTCAGAATGTTACTGCTGCAAATAAGTTGCTTTAATGTAGTTGCTTTTATTAAAAGGAAATGAGTGAGGTTTGATTAAGTCTAAACGCCATGTAACAACCAGCACAAGCTAGAATTCTATAGAAAAAATAATGTACTTTTTTAGCATCCACTTTGTGTAAGTTATTCAGTGTAAAAAGTTGCAGCGTATTAATGACATCAAGAGCATATTCAAATGCTGGAAATAAGGAGACACACTTGAAAAATACAACTTTGCTAATCTGTTGGGTTTTTTTTAGTTTTCCTTGCCCACATAGGACATTTAAAACACCAACACAGACTTTATCCCAATGTGAAAGCTCCCATTCATTTCAGTTAGAAATTAATTGGAACGTGTGACCAATGTTTTATTACATGTTGAAACCAAGTAGATGATAATAATTTCTAACTCAGGTTTTATAAAAGGTTGCAATTTGATATATCAATCCTACAGTTAAATGGATTAAGCAGGTTATAAACAGCAGCATTGAGGAGGGGTAGGACAGTGGACCTGGGAAGCCTTTGGGAATATGCAAAATACCCTCTTCATCTACTGGCTCATGTCAGGTGGTACATTTATTTCTGCTGGGACCTCCGTACTTACATTTTTGTTAACCTGGAATAACCCTCATGTTTCTTACACTTGATTATACAGAGCTGCTAAGAATTCTGGAAGGATCTGGGTATTTTCACCTCCCTTAAGTAGAAGTTGAGCGTTCAGCCCTTCTGGTGGGGGCTTAGCACCCTGCAGGACCCTTGCAGTGAGGGGGAGGCAACTCCTTGCTACCAGTCCGCCCTGCACAAGGCAGGATATAGTCTAACCTAATATTTGTTAATCCATAATAGTCTGCCTGAGTGCTGTATAGCGAAAACTTACTGTGTTTTTCTATGGCTAAACCATCCCTGTCGATGCAAATATTTGCTGTTGCAAACTGTTACTGCATATGCAACTGTGGGAGGGTTGCCTGGTTTGCTGCTGATTAGATCTGAACAGTGAGTGACAGCCTTGGACAAAATCCAAATCATACATTAATATTAGTTAAACCGATGTAAGTTAATGCAGAATAAACAGTAAGCAGCAGCTAACTCAACAACTGTAGTAAGCTGTCCACTCTAGCCACAGGATTCTTTGTTAGGAGATGCCTGATAGACACTTCACAGTACATGTCGTTTAGAGAAAGGGAACAAAATCATCACCAAGTAATGCTTATGTTAAGGAAAAAAAAACAGAAAAGTTATGGGCTCGAAAGTGCTAGAAAAAAACTTAAGCAAGACTCTTGCTCTTAATATTTTTTATAACAGAAAAGGAGAGGCTGTCACTGGGAAAGATCGGAAAAAAATCTTCTCAATACTGCTTTGAAATAAGCAGAACCATCTATCAGCGCCGTATTTTTTATGAAACTGTAGCTAAAGGATGTTAATAACCTGTACATTGGGTGCGTTCACTTATTTTTATTAATTGAACGTACTTTGTATTGTGCGCCCCATTTATTACATTCTATGTCGTATTTGCTGTGACTGCCGGGGAAGGGTTACGATAAAGTCAGAGGCAATGAAGATGGGTGCTCATCTAACAGGTGCTCCACTCCCTTTGTTCTTTGTATACACATATTCAAATCACATAAGGCAGGGGACAGGATAGGGCCTGTTAACTCATTGCTGATTTCCCTAGCAAATAACCCAGCAGCTGCAAGTCCAAGCCCTGGCTTAGCGCTGAGAAAAAGGTGGGATTTGTGTGGGACAGGATGCTTTCATGGAGCCCTTTAGCCAACTTCTTTTGGGACTTACAGTGCAAAATATATTTTCTGCTTGTAGGTAAGAAACAGTATGAATTATATTTGATTGTCACTGTGCAAACGTGGTTGGGTTTATACTCTTAAATTTAAAGATGTTTCTGTTGTATTGTCAGATGTTTTTATTTCAAGAAAGTAGCCTAAAAGCTTTTAATCAAATAGTGCCACCTTGTTTTATGAGTGGAGCTGCTATAAACTCTTAGCAACTGACAAAAATTAGTGCTATACATAATCTGTATATAAAACATGGGCATTGATTACATGTATATTGTTACATTTTATTAATTAATATATACATTATGCATTCTTTTTGACAAGTAAGGCTGGACAGGTTCTGAACCAAAGTTTATACAGAAGCTGTTACACATCTCTTTAAAAATGCATTATGTTGAGACACTGCTGCTGCATTATTTTTCAGTTTATTATGATGCCTTACAGTTAATAGGGAAAATTTATGTGCAATTTTAAATGTACTTGGTATTAAAACTAAGTTAAGCTTTCAATCAACTAAGAATGTCTTCCCGTTAATAGTACATTTGTTTGGTATCTGGGTGCAGTTTTCATAAGTATACATTTGTTACCCATACACTTGATAAAAAATAGATGTTCTATGCACTTTGACAGGAGTATCCTGTGATCAAATGTTAGATAAACTTATATTTCTACAAACTCTTGTAGTTCACTTCTGTATTTAATTGTTTTTGTAAATATCAACAGAGGGAATATATAATATTACAAATGTAGTGCATCTTCTACTCATTCATGCGTAAGGACAATTTTTCTTTTATTTTCTTTGTGAACTTCATATACAGTCACCTAGTTTCCTTGATTTTGAGCTAAATACTTTATCAAGAGTTTTGGCTTCATAACAATTGCAGTTTTATATGAAGATTATTGGATTTCTTCTTTAAAAATAAAAACCCTGGTTGATGAAAAACACAGTGAATATGCACTTTATCTACATTACAACTTTATTGGACATTTTTTGTTAAAATCCTACAAGAGATATTGGTATGCAAGCAGAGTGCTTTAGAGTACACATTTGTTCACCAGGAAGTCTCATCGTATACCCTCACTCAGATATACACATTTCCTAGTACGGGAAATGTGCAGCTTGTACTTTGTATCATGACAAGAATCGGGTGCATTGGGGACATGACACAAAGCCCACCGAAGACATTGACCTCAGAAGCTAAAATTAGGTCCAATAACAAAGCTCAGTGGAACTTGTTCTTGGGCAAAAATCCCTGAAGAGTATGCCCGAGTCTCTCCGGATATAAATGGGGGTATAGGAATTGCAGATTCCCTGGTCCATTATATCTGGTTTTTTTAATACATGAACGTATTTGCAAAAAGTGTAAAAACTGTTATCACTGATCTAGTGACATTTTACACCAAGTTCGGGGTTTTTGGAGAGCTGAAAAGCTAAATGAACACTCTGGTGAAAAGCAGTTGAGAATCCGAACTCACTTTGACAAGGCGATGTGCATGTTAAATTCAGAGAATGATAAAACCTCACTAAGCAGGTTTAGTTTATGCCATAAACTCAAAAGTTATGTCATAGTGTTTTATTTAAACTAAAGCTGCAGCCCTTGTTTTATGTCAACAACGATTTTGTTGTGCTTGCTAATACTGGTGATAGCAAAGTGAGATGGAAGCAAAGCACAGATCACTGAGCTCCAAATGGAGGTCATTTTGGTACAACCCTTTCGGTCATTATAAAAAAACTAGTTTTCAGAATTCCATTGTTCTGGAAAAATGTGTGTTATATTTAGAAAGCTATAGAGATAGGCTTAAATTATATAGAATTTGTGCCCAATGAGAATGAAGTAAGAGTTTGGCACATTGGCTTGATTTCACTATTAACATTAATTCACGGATTAGTCATAACAGTCTTCAGTTTTAATGAAAAATCAAAATTAGTCTAATAGGATAGAATCGTAGAACCATTTAGGTTGGAAAAGACCCTTAAGATCATCGAGTCCAACCGTAAACCTCACAACTGCCAAGTCCACCACTAAACCAGGGCCCTAAACACCATGTCTACACGTCTTTTAAATACCTCCAGGGATGGTGACTCAACCACTTCCCTGGGCAGCCTGTTCCAAGGCTTGATAACCCTTTTGGTGAAGAAATAACCCTTTTGGTGAAGAAGATTCCAGACTGCAAAAGATTTGATGTCTGTTAAAGCTGGCAGTCTCCCAGCATCACTCCTGTAAAACCCTTGCCTTCAGCAGAGCACCATTATCTAATAACTTCTCCGAGCCTCAGCCTGCCTTGCCCCTCACCCTGCTGGCCACGGAGGAGCTCCTGCCTGCTGATGACACTCCACGAAATCACCCCAGCAGACCTGGAGGGAGCAGCAAAAACTGCAGTCACCCAAAATCACCCCAGACTCCAGGGGAAAACGGGGTTTCTGCCCTCACCACCTCTGGTCTTTGCTAAAAGGATTTCTTTAACTGCAGATCAGAATGTCTTTCCAACCTGTTACATGGAACCACTTTTCCCCATGAATCAAGTGGAACAAAGTTAATTTACAGTTTCTATTCCCACATTTTTAACTGAGAGCAGAAGTTAAGTTTTCCAGCCACAATTCTCTTTATCTTACATATTATGGTGGTATCTTGTACATTGGTGGTCCCAGTTGTCCTAGTGCTCATTAGACCTGCTTGGTTTTTGCTAATTTTCTGCACAAATAGATCTGTGAGAAACTTTATTTGTTATACGTATTTTATGATTACATTGCAGCTGTTAGTGGCTTCTTGTCCTACAGCACAATCGCTTATTGACAGCTAAATAAACTCAAAAATTGAGCAATGTCATGCCTAAAGAATGAGGAAGGATATGGACAGATCTTTTAACTGATCATTTACTATCTCCCAATGTCTGACAGATGTTTTTGACTTCATTCAAGGAGATTTAAAAATTGAAATGTATTTGATGGGTTATATGAAATACATTTCCAACATTAAATATTTTGTGAAGGATTTTACTGAGGAATTATACTCTTTTTCAAATGGACAACAGCAGTTTAAATCTTATTTGCACTGTAAGGTTCGCAGGGAGGGAATTCGCCTCTAAGAAATGTTACAACAACCAACAAAACTAATCTCCCATTAACCAGAGTCTAGCAAGTCCCTAAGAGTTGGGCAGCATTAGAAAACAGTGCAAGAACAACAGGCCACAAATACTATTAAGAAGGGGTGGGGGAGGAGGCTTCAATTTGATGTGCTTCAGCCATTTCAAGTTTTTGATGTAGAAAAAGTTAAGCGTGTAAACATGTGTGTTCTGTGTATCCTCCACTTAAGCCTCTCCATATTTTCTCTCCACTCTTCCTCCTTTTTTGTCCCATTCTCCTCCTGTCTCAGCTGACCCCCAACCATCCTTTCCACATCAGTGTCCATGCAACCTGAAGTCCTCTGCCCGCTTCCTCTTTAGCCCCTGAGAAGGTGGATTTGTCAGTCTTTCTGTCAAAGGATTTCACTGTCTTTATACACATCACCCCTATAGTGTTCTGCCACATTTTCCTTTGGTTTCCCTGCCATACCCTCAGAAACGCTGCAAGCTGTCTTCTCTAGTTGAGTATAGTATTGCTCAGCTTTATGAAAAGTGAAGCCAGCCACAAAATTACTTTTTTGGGGTAGACTTTGTAGCTGGCTTTGTATTGACTATAAAACTCACTGGTTCCTGAATGGACAGAATATGACCAGAGATTTCTTAGCAATAGGGGTTTTCTCTGAAATACAGATGGTTTTGTGGGCGCCTTCAGCGGCATGGACAACGAGCCAGTCCCCTCCCACACCATCTCTGCTCTGCTACTTTTCATGCCCTTCCAGATTACCTCTAACATTAATTACTGGCATTACATATTGCCATGCTGCAGCTGTTACCCTCACCCCCTTTTTGTGTCCCTACCATGATCCCCAGCAACAGTTTTCTTTGTGATTAGCTCAAGTGGGAAACAGCTGTGCAGTGAAATTTGAAGATTCTAACCCAAAAGACATACACAGATACCACATTATGCTACTGAATTGACATTTTTATCTTTTCCTGCTATATAACCTATAGATTAGACACAAATGAACCTTTAGCAATTGCTTTTTGTCATAAAGAAAAATGCTATGAAGGTAGGAAATTTAAGAAGCAAAGTTGTCTCTGCATTATATTAATCTTTAATAGCACAGTCACATATTTTTCACTCATAGCTCCCTCTGCCCCCCCTTTCCAGGTAGAGGGTATATGTACTTCAGCTGGGGAATTACTTTTTTGTTACAGGTATTGGGAAGCGTGTCAAGAAACATAGAATCATAGAATACCGAGTTGGAAGGGACCTCAAGGATCATCTGGTCCAACCGAAGATGTTCAGTAGCAGGAAAAGAATAGATGGTGCATGGTGAAAGCATTGCATGTTGCCCTGGGCAGTGCATTCTCTCTCTGTTTCCAGCGTGCTCTTACGCAGTAGTAGACAGATTACTTAAATCACGGTTTTTACATGTTCTTCCTAATAAGAGGTTGCTTTTTTCCTAGGGTTTTGACTTAGCACTTGCAGTGTGCTTTTCAGCAATACCGAGCACTCAAAGCTGAGCAATCAAACCTGCAACTGAAGTCAATAGGAGTTGCATCTTGAACATACTAAGATCTGTTTATATGTATTTTGAAAAATGCAGTCCTTAATATTTCAAACTCATCATCCAAAATGAGTGGGTATTTTTGCTGTTAATTTTCTCTGGGCTTAAATTCCTCATCTGTAAAGTTGTATCAGTTATAATGGTGTTGTGAAATCAATTCATTAATGTCAACGCTTTACGCCATTGCTGTACTTGTGAGCGCTGTGGAAAAGTTCACGTGGAAATCAATCACTCAGTCCTAAGAGTAAAGTTTTAACAGTGCTCTATAAATCTGTCTCAGGCCGACACAATGAAAAATGATTCAAAAATAATATATGGGAAAGCCGATGATTAACTGAGGAGTGGCCTTTTTGCACCCTAACGAAGGCAGGATTCTTGGAGAACGGGATTAATCATGTGGCTGAAAATTCTGCTTTTGTGCATATCAACAGCAAACCTTAATTATGCTCTTTCCTAAAATTGGAATACTTGACTTTTGCAAGCTTAGTAATGTTTCTTGAATTTAGTCTTATGCGTACAGAGCAGTCAGCAATAATAACTATATATAATTTTAATCAGACAAATTCATGGAAGTGCTGCTTCTTAGATTTTCAGTCAGTTTCTCAGTGTAACTGGCAACGTAACACTAAGAAATTTCTCCCTAGCTAAACCAACCCAGAAAAAAAATCCTAAAAATTGAGTTTGCAATCTAAGACTGTTAGACAATATAAGACCTAGAAATTTGGAATATTTTAAAGAGAAAATATTTTAAACATTAAGGTAAATGCACATTTTCTCATTTTTGTTAAACTTTCAATGATAAAAGATCCTCTGCCCAGAAATCGCAAATATCCTTCCTTTGGCTTTTCATATATTTTAAAGCTGGAGCTCTGTAGCTAGATCCAACTGCACCGAGGTCAATGACTATTTGCACCTTTCTCACTTGAAATCTGAGTTATAACCATGCAAAAAAGTGTAAGCTTTAACCTTGAAAGTTTTTTCCCTGTGAGAATTTCTCATTTGAGTTTTCCAAGGTTTCCATTTGTGTTTGTTTATTTGTTTGTTCTTTCATCTTTATGCAGGTATTTGTTCTGCCTTAAGGTTGACAGTACCGTCTCATACCATCCATGGTATTGAGGGGCAACCACTCCATCTTACTGTTGACTACAATTTCAACGCTACAGCTTCTGAAATCCAGATAATTTGGCTTTTTGAGAGGCCTCAAAGTAATCCAAAATACTTGCTTGGCTCTGTAAATCAAACAGTAGTTCCAGATTTGGAATACCAGCACAAGTTTACCCTCATACCACCGAATGCATCTTTGATGATCAATCCATTGCATATCAATGATGAGGGCAATTATATTGTAAAAGTCAATGTCCGTGGAAATGGGACAATAGCTGCCAGTCAAAAGATTCAAGTAGCTGTTGATGGTAAGTTAGTAAAATATAGTATCTTCATTTTGAAAAAAAATTGCAATAGTTTTGAAGTACTGGTTCTTAGTATCCAGTTACAATAATGTATAATTTAATCCAACTATACATGAATAAATACTAACAACAACAAGTTATGTTATTTTCTACTGCTGCTGGAGGGAATGCTGTAATATGTCGTCTTTAAACAAAATTAATATATTGACTAATGTTTCAGGATCATAAATAAAAAATTGAAGGCATATAGAAACCAAAATTAATATTAAATTAGACAAGCTTCTAAGAAATAATGTTTCATAAGGCTCTGCTGTGCTATCAATCATGAGGATGCATTAACTTTCAAATAGTCTTTTTCCCTGAACAACTCTTCCCTGAGGAAATCTGCAACCATTTGCCAGCTCAGGATTTTATTCTGCCTGCAAGCTAGAGGACTGTGGCAAGGTGTCCCTAAAAAAGGAAAGACCACAATGGGATTTGAGGGGGCAAAATTTGACCCCACCTGTAGAATCTTATTCCAGTGTCTTATTCCACTGTCTCCAGTTTTTTTATTGGAAGATTTATTTGTTGTTCACATTCCCTATGCTGTACAGCCAGTCAGACAGAGAAGAGCTGACTGCCCCTTCATTCTCTCTTTTGTTAGATGAGCTCTCTACTTGGGCCTACCATGTCTTTTACCTTCTGTCACTATCCAAGAGGAGCCATTGACTTTTGCCAGTGACCTTGTGTCTGTAAAAGAAGCCCAGATTTGAATTCCTAAAATACTTCTTTGTTCTTTACTCCTCGTAGTGGGGATAGAAAAAAAAGGGAAATAGAAAACCATGAGCTAAAAGAATGACAAGAGGCTACTGTAATTTACGGATTATATGGAGGGGGCCCTTTAACGGTTGGGCTTGGAATAATGAAATGAATGACGTACTAGCACGATAAGGTTGTAGCTGCCATTTAACTCCCATACCCGTCCCAGTTTGCAGTCATCCTCACGAGCGGATTGACAGCATATTTCAGTGGTGCCCAGTGTCAGCAAAGCTGCAGGCAGCCGTCCCGAGGAAGTCGCACACCGCGGGCAATGTCACGCTTCGCACTCTTCGTTTCTGTGGGACTGCTTAGGAGGCAGGAGCTGGAGGCCATGGTGTACCTGACTGCGGCCCGTGTCCTATTACCGGTAATACGAAGAGTCTAGTTTTATTTAAGTACTGGAACAATTCTTACAGTCACCAGCTGAGAATATGGACTCTTTTCAACCTTTAACCTCATTTAATAACTAAAATTTGAAATCCCAGTACTTTCCAGAGAGGATGATGACTGCTATTTGTATCATCTTGACAATGGAGACTGCAATATACTGGCTCGTCACTTTTGTAACTCTTCATATTTCTTTATTTTACAGTTCCTGTCACAAAGCCAATTGTACATACTGAACCATCTTCAGGGGTAGTGGAGTATGTAGGCAATATTACATTAAAATGTACTGTGGAAAAAGGTACAAGGGTAGTTTACCAGTGGATGAAAAATGGGAAGCCTCTCTATGCCTGCCCTAATTACACCTTTTCATCAAACAATGCAACACTTCTAATTGTTCCTGTTGTAAAAGAAGACATTGGGAATTACAGCTGTCTGGTATCTAACCCTGTCAGTGCAATGGAAAGTGAGATAATTGCACCAACCATATATTGTGAGTATATGAAATATTCATAATTACCTTTGCATAAATGATCTGGCTGGAAAGAGGGCCTCTAACTAGGAAACAGGCAGAAAACTGTTGAGACAACATTATATGTGAGCTTGCATTCAAAATGAGCTTGTTTGTAACAGCTCTAACTTACAGCAGCATAATAAAAAGTTACTCAGTGTTATGTAGTTCTGAAGATGAGTCTGAACTGCAGAATTCAAACAGGAACTTCAAGAATTCCACAGTACAGACATATTCAGATCTGGAGGAGATGTGACTCAAAGGAAAAAAATGATCAGATGGGTATACATGAAAATATTGTTAAAAATGGAGACAGCAAACAGCGTCAAAAAGGTAAGTACAGGAAGTACCAGGCTGAAGGACTGGTATTAGTGGTTTTCCTCAAGGTCATTTTGAGTCCAGTCCTGTTTAATACTTCCATTAATGACACCAGCATAAAGATTGGGAGTATCTCAGTGAAGTTCACCTGTGACATTAAACTGGGAGGACTGAATTACTTTGACAGAGTAATAGAACTGATATGAAATTTGCTAGTAAAAAATAAATGGACGTGCACTTTTAGAGAATAAAAAACGTGAACTTCTGCTGATAAGATGGAGATTGATTGGGAAATAACTGAGGCAGCGAGCCTGGGTGATTGAGCTATCACAAGATGTCTGTGAACTGGCAGTGTCATTCAGGCATGAGAAAGACATGTAATTGTAGGGTGTGTTGGCAGTGTATTTCCAACAAGGAGATAAAGGGGATACTAATGGCACACGAAAGATGAGACCATATGTAGAATACTGTGTGCAGTTCCTGCACATCCCAGAGCAATGATCTCGAACTGGAAAGAAACAGAGCAGAAAGGAATGGAGAAAATCATAGAATCATAGAATCATTAAGGTTGGAAAAGACCTCTAAGATCATCAAGTCCAACCGTCAACCCAACACCACCATGCCCACTAAACCATGTCCCTAAGCGCCTCATCTACACGTCTTTTAAATACCTCCAGGGATGGTGACTCTACCACTTCCCTGGGCAGCCTGTTCCAAGGCCTGACCACTCTTTCAGTAAAGAAATTTTTCCTAATGTCCAGTCTAAACCTCCCTTGGCGCAACTTGAGGCCATTTCCTCTCGTCCTATCGCTGGTTACTTGGGAGAAGAGACCAACCCCCACCTCGCTACAACCTCCTTTCAGGTAGTTGTAGAGCGCAATGAGGTCTCCCCTCAGCCTCCTCTTCTCCAGGCTAAACAGCCCCAGTTCCCTCAGCCACTCCTCATAAGACTTGTTCTCTAGACCCTTCACCAGCTTCGTTGCCCTTCTCTGGACACGCTCCAGCACCTCACTGTCCTTCTTGTAGTGAGGGGCCCAAAACTGAACACAGGATTCATGGGGCGGCCTCACCAGGGCCGAGTACAGGGGCACGATCACCTCCCTACTCCTGCTGGCCCCTCTATTTCTGATACAGGCCATGGAGAACTCAGTCTGGCTTGGTAAAATCAGAGCTGAAAGGAGTGTTTGCTTTCCACATCAAGTAGAAAACATGAGGGAGCGAGAAGAGTTGCATAAAGACCAATGCTGGCAGAAGAATAAACCATAAGCTAGCCATGTATTTTGACTGGAAATTAAATCACCTGAGAAACTAACTGTGAACATAAATTGAGTTCATGAATGAAATTAGTTGGAGGAAACAAAAGATTGGCTTAATCAGCATTCAACAATTATACTTTAAATCTTAGAAAGGGCACCCTCATTTTGTTCCTTATCCCTCCTGTGACGTCAGCTCCCAGTGCCTCCAAGGTTTGCAAGTAGCATGTGCTGTGTACGTGACCTTGCCAGGCTCTAATCGTGTCCTCAGGGGTCGAACTGTCCTTCTCAGAGGAGAGCCAAAATCAGACAGGTCAGGACCTACCTTGCCACCAACCCTATTAAGATATAACCAGTTTACCCAATGGCACAGTGTGGATGGCACAGTGCAAGGACTGGAACTGGACTCCTGTCCAGTCAAGGGCTGGTGCTCGCTCTTGCTTTTGCTGGGCTCTGTAATCTGGCAGCTGGTAGACAGCCCATGCCCTGGACTCGTTATGGTTGCACCACCAGCATATTCAGAACCTACACCTCTTACTATGTCATATTTTCCTCCTCCTCCTTTCTTCTCTGATTATCCATTCTGCTACTTACTTATTTTTAATTACAACTTGGAAGAATCAGATGAGGGGGTGTCTTGCATCTAAAGTGTGTGGGGGGGTCTCTACACTGCACCAGGAGAAGAGAAAAAGACTGCCTAAGTTAGTGAAGACTAACCAGACATTGTTAGACGAGAGCTGATCCCTTAGATGCAGCTTATAAAACTGACAGCAATGCAGACATGAAGATGAAGGAGCTGCTGCACAGAGTCCTAAACAGGGCAGATGTGAATTGAGCTTCCATTCACATTAGACAGAGGGATCATGATAAAATGCTCTACAAGGAAATAACCAGCACTGATGGAGTTTTAACTTATCATTACCGTAATAAAAAAAAAATCATCATATTCTTTCCTCAAGGTAGCACATTTTTAAATGCCTGCTTTTGTACAGTCACAATCTTAGCTTACTTAAGTGCTTAAAGTGCTAAGAATGAGAGCTGCATGTGTACGAATATGCTGCCTCTGCTGCTTTTCTCACTGGTGAGCTATGAATGGACTTTATACACCTCTCTCTTCAAAGAATACCTACACAAAACTTGGGGATGCTGTATCCAGCACAACCTCACAGACGTCTTACAATGCAATAAAATCAGGTCAGGCTAGAAAAATATCTGCCACTCTTGCTACCTTTTGGACTGCTCTGTTTGTTTGTGGCACGGCCCCTTCGGCGTTCGCATTTCTGCCCCGTTGCACACAGGATTGGCTCCAGAGCACTTACCGCGCTGACGGGTGTCTGGGGCACTAGCACTGACAAGGTGTGTGCCCTTCAGTCTCAGTTCTCGTTCTGCTTCCTCCCTTCTCCCTCACTCAACTACATGGATTTTCCAGCAAATTTGAAAAATCTAAACTGAAAACCTATTTTTGACCCATTGTTTAGCAGAACTTTAAAATCTCAAAGTTACTTCAGTGTCCACATTTCTGGAACCTTTTGCTGTTTGAGTGATTATGGTATACAGCTCAAAAGATCTGTATATATCAAAAACTTTGAGATTCAATTTTTCTCCACATATGGGAATATTGTTATAAGTATTTGCATTTTCAGAATGTACTTTTTATTTCATCAGAACTGAGGGTTTGCTTTGTGCATAATTTAAACATTGAAAAAAATATTAAGAGAAAACCATGCAATCCTGAAAGACTGCAATACTTGCACTACTGTCCATATCCAAGTTAGTGATGGGAGTTGGGGTCTTACTTCCTATACGAGCTATACGAAGCTATACGAAGTCACATAATTCGGTCCAACCTCTGCCTGCAGGGGTAGTTTGTCTCCTAGCTCCCAGTTGTCAATAACAATCCAGAACAGGCCCCGGGATCTCTTATGTGCCATATGTCATTGCTGCGGGGGAGTTACTGGAGGTGATAAAAAAAAGGTCACTCACAGTAAATACCTGCCATCTGCTTGGAAACTGTAACAGTCTCGTGGTGATAGGAGCAATTGGAAATATTCCCACAGAGCAGTAAATTGTTACTCAGAACAGATGATTTATTATTTTACAAGTCATTTAGTTAACCGGCTTTACCGAGACAAGAGGCAGATTTCTGTTGAGAACGATATGGGAAAGGAGAAGTAGCGCTGAGGGATCCATGAAGGCTGTCACTGTGTTTTTTTACTGAGAATCAAAAGTGTTTTGTTCTTCATTTCTCACTAATATTATTCTGCTTCTCCATTAGCTATGATGATAATGCACCCCAGAACATGGCTATTGCGGTAGCGTGACCCAGAAACAAATTATTTCAAGCCTGGAAGAAGCTGCTGTCATGGAGGCTGCAGCAGAAACTGCTGTACTGTGCTGATGGAGTTGAATATAACAAAGTGGGATTTCCTTCCTTCTAGCTTTCTTCCAAAGCTAGAATATATTTAGTCCTAGAGAGGAAATGGTTAATTACCGGCTTTTCAGAATCATCCTTGAAGCTGTGTATATCCCTCAGCTACCGAGTGTTTAGGGATCTCAATGATGTACGCGATGCCCAGGAGAGGCAAAAGACTGATCCAGGTGTAGCAGAAGGGTTACCCGATGCTTGTGTTGCCTTCATCAAGGAACGCCACTTTTCAGACCTTGCCAAGATTTGACTGTTCCTTAAGAAAAACTTTCTGTGTTTTTTTCAAATGTACTTCCCCAGCCAGTGTGCGTCAGTGTTTTTGTAATGGTTTCTTTTGATTTGCAGCTTTCATACAAAAGTGTAGTAATGTTGTTACTGTAGTAATGTTGTAACCTGTCTATGCTGCACTGTTATGATACTGATAAAAAAGCAGAACTCAATTCTGATTCTTTTGCAGACTGTAGCAAATCTCCCACTATAGTGAGGGGGCACAGAGACCAGTCAGCTATTCTTACCATTAATCTCTGTTTACATATATCAAAGGTTATATTATCAGTGAAAGTAAAAGCTAATTCTTCTAAGAAAGAAGAACTGGATAGGAGGAACCACTGAATTGCTCTGAAACGTAAAAAAGTGTGTTCCTGCCTATAAATAGTGCGTGAGGGGTTTTACTTTCATTTATGAAAAAGTCAAAGTTCAGTACATCCCTCTCCTTTCCCATCTGAAAAAAGGGAAGTAAATACCAATAATGGGCGAGCCCCCGTGAGGGGCTGGTGTTCTGGACCATCCACAGAAGCATGCAGTCCGAGTGAGGTCAGCCAAGCCGAAGTAGTGGTGATAGGTCTGCGCTTCCCAGAAATGCTTATTACAGGGTCAGCCGGCTCTTGGATACAGCAAAGCAAACGACTCGGGAACTGCAGAGCCTGTGAAGAAGCAGCCCAGCATCTAGAGTTTTAAAAATGCCTTGATCCTTCAGGGTGGCCCCTGCCATGTAGGTGGCAGCAGCGCTAATTCGTGCTGAAGTGAATCTGTATTGCATTTCCCAAGGAAATATTAGGCATGATGTTGGGCCTTCCTTAAAATGAGACTGCAAAAAGCTTACCGCTAAGAAATAAGTAGAGAAAATAAAAAATTTGACAAGTTCACATTGTGAAATATGGACATTTGGTTAAAAGTGGACTAAACTGAGGTCATGGTGTGATAAGTCTACATTCTCTTGTCTAAGCCTTCGCAAATAGAGAAAAAACCCAGAGGCACACAGAAAATGGCCTGTTTTGTGCTGCGTGCTTTTTGCCTATGTGTTCTTGATGAATAAATCAGTCTCATAAAGAAAGACAGACAATAAATAGAAGTGTGCATGTTAGAGGAAGGTCTAATGTCAGCCTGAACTTCCTGATGAGAAATAGAGTCTGAAACGTGCCAGTGTGTCACTTCATGTAGCAGGGGATTTCACATTCAAACCCAGCTACATTATCTTAATGCTTCCAAACAACCATAGGAAGGTGGAAATACTACTTGATTGCACTGTCTACAATGGGCATAATATTGACTTATCTGTCTTTTTGCTATGCCATTCTGTGTGAGGCACTTGTCAGCAGCTTTACTGAACTTTAGGGATCCTACCAAAAAAATGTCTCCTGCTCATTCTGCGTATTTTCTTCTTTTGGCTTCTGTCAATATTAGGTCTGTGTATTTTTGATTATGCGTGTAAGCCCTTAGGGAATTAGCAACGTTAAAATAATTAGTTCTTTTGACTGGAAGAAGTAATTTAATAAGGCACATTTTGGTTATTATATCCTCTACATTAATTTCTATACTTAGATCCCTGTAAAAATAGATTTTAACATGTAAAGATATAAAAACCCCATGATCGCAAATGATCTATTTAAAATAGCATGGGAAATATTCCATATATATTTAAATATATTATTTCCCTTCCTATTTTCCTATGAAGATTACCCAAAAAATACTTAGCTGCTCAGTTTTCCGAATAATGAACACATGACTATTGGACAACATGTCTTTTCTAGTTATATTCAGAAACACAGCTTTCTTTCAGCACAAGGGCTTGCTCTTGAAAGAAACATAAATATTGAAATACTAGAAGCCTACTAAAGTGGGGGGAAGGTTAAAGTTTATTTTAGCAGTCATTTATGGAAAACTTTTTCTGAAGTTATCTAAGGCACACCCCACTCTATATTATACCTGTAAGATAGTTCCCCAAATAATTATTATACTGCAAGGTATTACAATGAATGTTTATATATTTCAAGGCTAATTTGTTCACTTTTAAATGTGCAGTGAACTTACTATGCCAATAAGTTTGGCATTTAAGCACAAAGGGTCAAATATGTACCTGAAGAAGACCTGCTCCTTTACTTCACAGCTTTTCCAACTGTTTTCAGTTTTTGTTCTTTTTATCGTACTGAACAGTGCATAGACCTGTGCTGTTTCCCTAAACAGCGATTAGATCAGTATTAAGTGGGTGTAGTCTCAGAAAAACCTAGTACAAATCGTTATTGAACTGAAAGCCTTTTAACTGAAGTGATTGTATCCAATGCCAGCCATTCTAAAGGCTAGTCTAACTTAAAAATTCTAAGTTGAGAGATACGCTTCTATTTAAAGTTTAATTATATACTTTGATTTTAATTTTTCCACTGTGTTTTCTTTTTTTCCAATGCAGATGGACCTTATGGACTTAGAGTTAAATCAGATAAAGGTCTGAATATAGGAGCGGTGTTTACAGTTGACATGGGGGAAGTTGTACTGTTCGACTGCTCAGCAGATTCAAATCCACCAAATACTTATTCATGGATTCAAAGGGCTGACAATACCACTCATGTAATCAAATATGGACCCCATCTGGAAGTCGTATCTGATAAAGTGGCCCAGAAGACAATAGATTACATGTGCCAAGCTTTCAACAACGTGACTGGAAAACGAGATGAAACTCACTTCACAGTCGTCGTTACTTCTGTAGGTAAGAACATTAATTCATTGCTGTAACTGTAACATCTGAGCAGAGTGTCAACCCCAGAAAAAGGAAATAATTCTTAGAGAGAGAATATATATCAGAAGTGAGGTCTTGCTAACAATGTAGTAAAAAGGATTTGGCCATTCAGTGGGATCCGGGTTTTACTTGCAGTGTGACATGGCTTGGGACAAGACCCACTAAGATGCTGAGGTTTTGTGGGAGTTTGACACTAAAATACATTTGGCCGTTTGGAACTTTATCCCTTGAGTAGAAAAACTTCCTCGGTAGGCAAACCTCATCATGACCAAGTATCATGGCAGAATTATATGTCTCTTACTCTGTTTCTTACTTTTGCCTTTTAAAATGATAAAGATGAACGGAGAGAATGATGCGCAAATCTGCTGAATGCCAAGGTGGGCCTTTCCTCCCAAGGGCAGATTTTGTCCAAGGTTCACTGTCCCACAGCTTGCAGGAGCTGTGAGCCCTGGGGCCACCAGGTGACCAGTACACAGGATAGTTTCAAGCATACATCACTGACTAAAATAACCAGGCACAGACTCACAGCATGAAGGTCTTTAACATTTTTCCAGTGTGGTTAGGTATTATAAGAACCGTAGTCTAGCGTATAATAATAATGCAAACTGTGATGATGAATGGTTTTATTACAATTTGTTCTTAAAAATTCTTTCACTGTCATATTTATGAATCTATGGACTGACTGCTAGGTTCTGCTGAACGCACACCTTTATTTCTCATACATTATAACCTCAGTTCCTATACAGATTGCGTTAAACAGCAACAAAGCAGTTTTTCAGAAAATCTCCAGAAGCATACAATGAAGAACAAGATATTGAGGAAGTCTGTTATCTCTTATTAATACAGATCAATACAAGTATTTTCAGATAAGGAATGTATGCTATTAATGATCAACATGATAGAATAGATTGCCTTTTAAAAAATTTAACAGAGCAATTTCACTTGTGCAGAACAAAGAGCTCAGCCATTTGTTAGTCAGATAAACAAGGAGAGCAGATGTCCATCGTTCAGGCTGACTTACAAATTCATGACAAATCCATGGCTTTCAGTATGCTGGAAGGAAGATGGGTTCTAATTTTACAATGAGAATACTGCATTTTAAAACTAACCATTGTGGTTAGTGGCGAAAGAAAATGCAACCAGAGCTATGTGTCAGTAGAAATAAACATGACATTTCTCCAGGAAGTTCATGTAAGCTATGATACATATGTGAACGTTCATAATAAGCGTTGAGAAATTCAGCTGAGATTTCCTTTCAAAGGCCGAAAAGAAGGGAAAACTCCACAGCTTCATGTTTAGTTGCACTTAAAAACATACATTTCCTAATTACAAATATTTTGTCTAAATAAAGTTTGTTGAAACATTTTATCCTGTGTATTTACAAATTAAAAAAATATCAGTTTCCCCCTCTATAGCCATGTTCTTCTTGATGAGTATTTATTCAGATAGCACTAAATCCAGATGTCATGCCTACACTTTGCAATGCAGCACTGATTGACTCTAAGAGGTATGAATTCACACACGAGGCTAAACCTCAGAGATCCTGCTCAGGCTAAATTCTGGTTGGAACTGATTAAACATACTAAGCAAAGACTATGAGTATTATTCCATATCCCTTCTCCCTGTCCCCATAATCCTAGATACAGAGCCTGGACTGTGCCCCTCAAAATACTGGAAATCCCATTTTCAGCAGCGACAGGAGCTTTGACGTTTCAGAAGACTTACACAACTTCCCCACCTAAGGGACTGAAACTCACCTATATGGCGCTGTAAACAGCTGCCTAATTAATGCTAAAAATCATCAAGAAAACAATTATGTCAATAAGTTACAATTGTATCAATCATTGCACTAAGCTGTTAGCCAGTTTTAGCCAAAACTAGCTAGATTTTAAGATAAGATGATGTATCTCATTATGTACACAAGTCATTGCTCAGTTCTCAAGTTGAGTCAACTTGTGTGTGTTAAATGCATGTAAAGGGCACATCTTTGTTTTCTGCACCGGTATGCCTGTGGAGATAAGACTTTTTGAGTCTAAATTTGAAATTATTAACTTTAAAGAACATTTTTAAGGACTCAGCTGGTTCTCCAGCATGTGGGTTTTTTTTCTGAGGAAAGCAGTACATTGAAGGAGTGTGAAAGAAATTTGGTGAAATTGCAGTGATTTATTTTCCCATATCTTCGGGATTCATCTGGATTGAAATCCACATATTTAATCTTTGTGATAACGGCTGCACACACAGCCAGCAAGCACAATGCCAGTGAATTACATGGAGGTGTAAGTAGAGTAAGTAACAATGTCTGTCTGCACAGGAGTTCACGGGTGTACTGGAAACACATCCAGCTAAATAATACACATTTGAATTGTACTCATAAAGCTGGCACTGACAAATATGCAGCATTGATTTACCTGTACGGATTGTGACGCGGCCTTTAATTACATGAATTCTGCACGATTTAGAGCAAAGGAGGAAATTAAGGGTGCACAAGCAACTGTGTCTGGCATTTCCTAACTTTCACATTCCTGTCTTTGCAAATTCTATGCAAAAGTTTTCAACATGGTTTTGTGTAGTGTAATTATATACATACTGTATTTGCGTTTTATCAGTAAATCCTGCTGGAAAACTGCTGCTAATGCATATCTCAGCAAAAGATCTGAGCAAAGGAAAGAAATACTTTGCATATATTTAGACATGAATACAAACAAACATAATCTATTGGCTTCTGATGGGATTTGATAAACAACTAGACTCTCAGTGATCTGAAAATCTTTAGAAAAAATACAATAGTTCAGTTATCCCCTCCTACTCTACAGCTCCTACAGCTAGGAGGATTTCCCTCCCATCTAGCACAAACTGCTTACCTGATTGTCACCTAATTTCTTGGTAATTCGGTGCCTCTATGCCTAAAATTAGACTATTCACTTACTTTTTGTGATGCTGTAATTCATGGATTACGTTTACTGACCTTCATTTAGCTCTAGGTACCAATCTGTTCTGGACTCATTTCTGACACGCATATCATTGTTTTTCCAGTTCAGGAGATTTGTGGGGAAAAAATAATATTATCGATGCACAAGAACCTAAATTTTGTATCTATTTCGTATCTCCATGCAGGCTTACTAGCTTCAGATGAATTTCAAAAGATGCATTTTTTTCAGTGTCATAATAGTACGTTGTACAGAACAAGAGACTAAATACAGTACTCATCTTCTTTGTCACAGGATTGGAAAAGCTGGCCCAGAAAGGAAAATTTCTGTCATCTCTTGCAGTAATAACGGGAATTTCATTATTTTTGATCCTAGCTATGGCCTTTTTATTCATATGGAAAAGATATCAGCCACATAAAGGTATGTAAAAGTTAAGCACATTCCAGCTCTTCTTTTGGACCATCAGAACAAAAAGAATGATTTTTCTTTTTTTTTTTCTTTTCAGTGATTCAACAGAAGCTGCAGAGCAGGTACAAAAATAAATCATTCTTAGGTCTTGAAGTCCTTTCCATCAAGAGAATTGCATTTTATCATATTAATTTTCTTTCCTTGGCTTATGACATCAAACTGAAAAACATGCTTATGTTTTCTAGGCCAGAGGCTGATTACAGGAAGGCACAGTCATTTTCAGGTAATGCTAATGAAAGAAACGTGAGCATAAGGTCAAAATCCATTCCTGCAAAATATTACCATCTCCACGTACAGACAGAAAGAAGGAAAGGAAGGGGAGTGTGTTTTTAACTTGGGTTGCACACCTAGCTCTACGTTAGCTCACTTAAGATAAAACCAATGACAACAGGTGAGCATGGGTTTAGCTCATGCCTGGAGTTCATAGCAGTATGTACCTGTTGGCTTGAATTCTAGCTATTAATCCCGGTTAGGATCACCTGTATTCTGCTGTTCTCACCAATATGAAATAACTTAGTGTTATTATGGGATAGCAGTGGGAGGTGATACACCACGGGAGGATCACACTTCTCAATGTTCATGGCACCAGTCAGTACCAAAATCATGAGATGTTAATATGACATTACAGTATATATATATTTTAGCCTTTACCACATTCCATACTACCTTTCTCTGGTCATCAGGACCCAGTGTGCTTTTGTCACTGCCTCTTTTCCCTCCACAATCCTTCCCACATCATCCTGGGCAGGAGAGCCTGGAGACCAGCCATTCTTTGGAAGGGTAGCACTTTTGTTCCCATCCCTTCCTACCAAAGCATCGGAGCAGGCCCTTATGGCCTGCTACATGCGAGAGGATAGAGGAGCATGAAGCTTCGGAAGGTAAGAAACTCACTTGAGCGCAGAGGGTCTTTCACCCCAGCAAGTGGTATCAGGGGAGAGAATCTCAGCACTGTTTTTAGTGGTGCAGCCTTTGCTGTGGAGTGATGCCCAAGAGACAACCACGAGTCTCAGATCTCCTGGACAGTGGGAGGGTAGAGAAAGAGCCTCCCACCCTAACTACAAGTTGTATCTGAAGTCCCAGATACAATCTGTCAACTGGTTTAATAATGTGGCACCTATTAGTATCATGTTCCCTTTTTTTATTCTCAGTATTATAAAAGATTCAGGTGATACTGCCTCACTACAGTGTAGACGTGCTGAGCTTATGGACTGGGCCTCTTTTCTATGGGAAATGAAAGTAAATCGGTCTATTTAGCCTTCCAGCAAAGAGGGTCCCAATGGCTTTACCAAAACTGTTACTGAGGTTAGCAGGAGGCTCCTCACTTGGTCCGAGGTGTTGGAGATAGCCAAGCACTGTGCGCACCGGCTGTGCAGCTGCCCTGCCTCGCTCCACGCCAGCGCAGGAGCTTGGCAGGGAAGTGGTTTAAAGCAGAACAACCAACCAGTATTCAGATGTTTTAAAAATTAGGGCCAAATGACTTTGCCCATCATTATGTAAGCTGTCTTTTCCAGATTCATACTACATCTTGATACCTTTCTTTCATGTTTGTTTCTTCTAACTGTAGGACATGAAAGTGCTTTGGATGATTTTGGGATATATGAATTTGTCGCTATTCCTGATGGTGGTTCTAGGGTATGTGATTTTACATCATAAACTGATGGCTTCTTTTCTATTTCTTAAGGTGTACTAAATATCTGTTCTAGAATCCTTCTGTCAGTTTGCTCCTGTTGTTTTTTACAGACGTCTGTATGATACCATATTCATTGCTGTTGTTTACCCAGTACTTACTCTTTCTTTGCTATGTTACTAATTCAGTACTTGTATTAACATGGTGCAGTAAGGAACTAACCAAGTTCTAAAGGGAACAATCTCAGTTCAGTTACCCTATATTAAAAGAACATCAGTGGTGTTGGGTAGATGAGTAGCACTGAACCCCTTGTGTCACACAAGCAAATTAATTCTTGTGATGCTGTTTTCTCCCTTGGCCCTAATATTGCTGCTCACCCAACATCCAACTTCGGCAGTGCAGAAAAGCCGCAGGGGGGTATTTAAAGTTTTCATTGTAAAAATATGCAAGCTAAATCTCAGCTATATTTCACAAGAATTATTTTGTTAGCTTCATGTATTGTGGGGGAGGACTTACGCACAGGAATTTTGCTAGCAGAAAAAATCCTACTACATATGCTACTTGCATTGTGGCTTTGCTGATACTACTGTATAGCAGTTGGAGATCATTCTGACGTGGTGTAAAAGGACAAAGAAAAAATGAGAAATAGGGCCACCAAATTTAGGGACAACAGACTGAAACTGGGAGGAAGTAGACAAAACACTTTCCCTTTGCTAGGGAAAATTTCTGACAATACAGTCTTGTACCCTTGGAGAGCATCAGCATGGTCAGGTAAGGGAGAGCTCTTAAAACATGATCACACAGCATCACATCAACAGTCACACCTATTTTGTTATTATGAATTTAGATATAAAATCATAGAATCATAGAACCATAGAA